TCCACCTCAGGAGGCATTTTTGAGGGCAATGATGTAGCGGACCGTGCTTTACAGTACTCCCTACTGCCAGTCCTCACCCCTCCTGAACAAGTCCATGATTTTTTACACCTACCTGTGAGCTCCCTGAGACGCCTGTATGGTTTAACTCATGAACAGGCTCGACAAATTGTGAGGCGATGTGTGCACTGTGTTCTTTTCCTCCCCCCTCCACCTAGAAAGGGCATTGACCCACGCGGTCTTTTTCCCAAAGACTTGTGGCAAATGGATGTTACTCACCTTGACCGTGTTGCTATCCATGTCTGCGTTGATACCTTTCCAAATTTATGATAGCCACTGTATCCAGTAAGGAGAACACCTCATCAGTTATTAAGCATCTGTACCGTTGCTTCGCCTCTGTGGGGATCCCTCACATCATTAAAACTGACAACGGGCCTGCCTATTTATCTACACAAATGACTGCCTTCTTTACATCCTTTGGCATTAAGCATGTTACAGGGATCCCCTATAACCCCACAGGCCAGGCTATTGTTGAGCGAGCCCATCGTACCTTGAAAAACACCCTTAGTAAACAAAAAGGGGGAGTAGAAGGTCAGGGCTCCAGGCGGTGGCCTACCCAAGCAGACATGGATAAAGCTTTATATACATACAATTTTCTCTGTCTAGATAGGGACACAGGCCTATCCCCCCAGCATGCTACAGCTAATAACACCACCCATTTGCAATTCAACCGGCTCCTTAAAAACAGCACTGCACGCACCATCTCTTAACCAGAAAGTCCTCTGGAAGGACAATGAGGGAAGCTGGCAAGGCCCATCCGTAGTGTTGTGGAGAGGTCCAGGGTATTGGTGTCTTACAGATCCTGATGGCCGGAGCCGCTGGGTATCAGAAAGAAGAACAAAACGAGTTGACGAAGCCCTGGGAGAGACGACAAGGATGAGAGAGGAGACGCAGACGACAGAGGAATTAGAGAGAGCAGAAGGAAAAGACAGTCAGGATGACTAAACTGAGTAAACTGTTTTCACTTTTTTGTGCAATCGGGACTTTGCCACAGGTTGCGTCAGCTCCAGTGCCCTGGTCACCCCTGTCCAAGGCCACACTGCAGCAACAGGAGGCTGGAGTACAGAGATGGATCCTGGTAGAAGGTGCTCAGAGATAAATCCTGATGTGGGAAGAGGCTACTCCTGAGATCATCTTACAGGGTAATGCCACCCTCCTCTTCGGAGGCAGGGAAACCCCGCAAACACCCACAACAAAGACTTTACCACAGCTAATTTCACCGTCAGGGGGATTCCAGTCTGCATAAGGGATGTGGAATATCCAGGTGGTTCCGATAGTAGTAGTCCGACCGGCCACAAGCGCCTTTGCGCTTGGACTGGGGGAAACCCCAGGGTGTGGAACCTCCAGAACTCAGATACTAATGATGATACTGTAGGACATCCATTATACATGAATCTTACCTTTGGTGGCATAATTTTGTGATACGGGGTACAATTATACAAGGCCCCCATTTCACCCATGCATTACTAGCGAAGCCACCCCCTTATGGCCAAAATTCACTCGGTGTCACGCTCCCATCCCTTGTAACAACTGCGTTGCTGAAGGATACTTGAGTGACACCCTATTTAGAGACAATTGGGAAATAGTGCTCCATTCCTGGGTAATCGAACACACCGGTCAGCAACTGGCCGAAATGCCAGAGCCGGTACTAGTGTTCCGGGACATTATCCACCCAGGTATATGGAAAATAGCTCTCGCTATATCCCAAAATATGCCCAAATTCTGAATCCCTGTGCCATGACCCCACTTATCAAGCCTTTTGTTCATGGTTTGGCCATAGGGGGGCCAATTACTCTACTGTACATAAGTTAAGGGAAGGGTGTGACATGATGGGATACCGTTTCCAAGCCTCAGCCATCACCCCTCGAGGTTTTGGATTGTTAATCTGCCCCAACTCCCAACACACCATGACTCAGGATACTGACGAACTAGGGGGTCCCAAGTTTCACATATCTACCTGTAACTGCACATTGACTGATGTGATTAACCCAGGCAGCTGGACCCTGAACTCCACATTGTACCTCCTCGGCATTCGCCACCTTACACTGACAAAAGCTAAGACCCCTGCCAATTGCTTTCCCACTGCTGAAGATGCCAGGTGCGAGGAGATTGGCAAAGCAATCAATTATCATCGACACAAGAGAGAATGGCTGGGGGCACTCGCGTTGGCAGCTTCCATCTTCGCGGAGTTCCAGATACAGGACATATATAGCGGACAGCAACTGCTTGCCTCACAAATAGAGGATCTGGCCAATAAATTCGCCCACGCCCTCCAAGTGCAGGCTGATATTGATCAGCAGCTGGAGGAGCAGATTCATAAAATAGCATTGGCTACCCAGGACATTGGGAATTAACTTATGTGGCTGGAATTGAAACAGCAGTTGCCATGAGATGGCCATATCAATCCATTTGTGTGACACCCTTAAACCATAATGCCACATGCAACGCCCTTTCACAAAACATAAATGACACTCTCCCTTTCTTTTCTATTTGGTGTAATGATACCCGTACCCTTGCCCAGATCCAAGCTACAAATCTTTCATCTGAACTGCAGGCCTTGCCGGTGTTAATTAGACTGGCGTGGAACATATCTGACACTTGGCACCAGCACGAGACTGATGATATTGTTCATCATCTTAGTGATTGGATTAAGCATACCTCTTTCCCCATCCCCTTCCTTATAACCCATTGGGCATTTATAGCTCTTTTTGCATTTATACTGTTATTGTTACTACCCACTATATTAGGGTGTTTCCTTAGGGTTCTTAGACGTTTGTTAGAGATACTCAAAACTGAGGCCCTAGTCTTGAGACCCCGTCTCAGCCCCCTTGATTAAAAAAAAAAAGGGGGAATTGTGAGGGATTGTCTGAGGTTGGCTACGTGCCACGTGGGAGTTGTGGTAAGATGGGGCAGGGACAAGATATTAGGAAGTAACCGGAGCTCACGCTCCCGAGGCAGGGGGCTGTGCCATGTGGAGTTGTGGTGAACTGGGGTAGGAACAGGAAACGGGGAAGTAACCGGAGCTCACACTCCCAAGGCAGGGGGCTGTGCCACATGGGAGTGGGAACACTTGCTATAAAGAGCTATACTAAAAGTCACCTACTAAAGTCAGCTAAATTCCTTGAGGCAATTTCTGAATTTAATTCATTTATGACAAGCTAAATTGTGATGTAAATTCAGAGATAGAGACCTCTGAGGAGTAATTACAGGATAAAATTAATTATATAACAAAATAATTGTAACTAGGATTAATATGAAAATGATACATAATAATGTTGATCATTCAAAGGTTTCATGCAGGTCAATAATCCTCTAATTAGGAGAAATGGCAGTCAACCCTGAATAATAAAAGGATATTCAGAATCAAAAATTTTAAGTCTTATGTTTTGATCAGAGACATCTGTCTTTTCTTTGATTACACAGTTCTAAATTGATGTGTTTACATTAAAATTTGGCAGATACTTCTACAGGTACACATAAGTATCAGAAAACATTAAAGTAAAAGTAGTACAATAATTGTTGTTGATATTAAATTACATAAAGTCTACTTGATCCAGCTTGTTTGTGATTTTGTTTTGTTGTTTCAGTTGTGTCCAATTGTTTTTTTATCCTTTAGGTTTTTTTGTTTGTTTGTTTTTTGGGGGGTTTTTTTTGGGCAAAGTGGTTTGTACTAGAGTGGTTTGTAATTTATTTCTTCACCTTATTTTAGAAATGAGGACATTGAGGTAAACTATGTTAAGTGATTCGTTATAGGTCATACAACTAATAAACTTGAGACTGCATTTGAAACTGTCTTTCAGAGTATAGGTGTCATGCTGTCTGCTGTGTCACCTAGCTATATAGTGTGATAATGCAGCACAAATGTACATTCGATCTGTTTCTTTAACATTAAGTCTCAGCTGTGCCATGAAAATAGATATCTGGTTCCTGGTTACATTTTCAATTGGAAATTTTGTGTTATGCTTAATAATGAGGGTGGTTCTTGAGAATTGTTTCTGTTAGTATCTCTGCTTTTTTGGTGTCAAATTACTCTGATGTTTGATTACTGATGTTTATTAAGTAATAGTGGCAAGGTTTAATAAAATTTAGTTAGGTGTAATAGCATATGTTAAACTTTGTATTGTAATAATTAGTTCTTATGGTGAAAAGCAGTTAAAATCTTATGGAGTTAAGTTTATTAACAATAGACCTTAAGAAGAATGCTAATTTAGGAATGCATAATTTATTTAAAAGTTCAGAGAATTTTTTTTGTATGTTTACTTGAAACTTGTACCTAGTATGGACAGTTAAAATACATATGTTTCTGAACTTGAAATTGAAGGATGTTTAGTAATTTATTTTTACTTTTTAAGTTTTGTTCTGAAATTAAGCATCAAAAGGAAATATTTTAAATATAATATTGAATACTTGTTCTTTTGTCATTGTTTTTAATAGGTATATTTAGTAGTCACTTAAAAACTAACAGATTCTTGAAAAATAGTGGGGGGTTTTTTGCTTTATTAAAGTTGCTTACTATTTTATTAAAGCCAAATTTTCACTTATAATTGAAGTTAAGTTTTTTTTGTTTTCGTGGATATTTCTTCTCATATTTCTTTTTATCTAGCATTTTTTTTAAAACTTCTATTTATATTTTTAAAGTTTTTTCAATTTTTTAGTTTTAGTTTTTCAAAGTAATTGTGTATATGTTGAGAAATGATGTTATTTTTTGATTAGTTATGTAAAATAATTTCCAAAGTTTTTTCAAAGTTTTGGTTTTTTTCGTTAATTCTGTTGTTGGGTTTTATTTAAAAGCTTTTTCCCCTTTTCTTTTTAGCCACGCCCCTTTTCCTGCACCGTATTACTTCATCCGGGTCTTTATTCCAATCTCTTCCTGTTTTTTTCTTTTCCTTTAAAGTATTCTTTATTTTGAGTCCGGTAACTACAGTTATGACCATTCTACCGAAGAAGCCGCCTCCACCATCAGCAGATGGAGAAAGCAGTCCAGATAGCGAACCAATAGGATCTAATGCTAGCCAAATTGGTCCAGACCGAGAAGCGTCTGGAGCTGGTCCTTCCTCAGGAGTCAGACCTCGATCATCACCACCGGCCCTACCACGGTGGGCTCCCGGTGGGGGCGGACGAAGCGGATCACAAACCTCGCCACCCCAACCTGGTGGAACTAGTGCCACTATTACTACAGGGGATGGACTGGATTCAGTGGGAGGCCCCGTTGGCTGCTGTTCCGGTTCAGGCCATAATAAAAGGCGGCGTCAACAGACTAATACTTGGAGCAATCCAAGTCCATTCGGAAGTGGCTGTGGAGGTGGCAGTCCCCATCTGGATGAAGGCGAGGGAGGGTACAATAGCGAGGACGAATATGACGCAGCAGCCTCATGTATTGAGGCCATGGACCCCGCTACTGTGGAACAGGTAGTCTCGCGCTCCCCAACTCCGCTAAGGGTTGACAGATGTCTGAGATACATTTACTTAAAATAGTCACCATTACCACATTAATTACACTTTATCATTTTCTCATTACCACTGAACCTAACCAACCCTCTAAATCTTTTCTTTTATATAATATCCCCTGCCCTATTCTTCTCTTCACAACCTATTCTTCCTCCTCTCTTATTGTTTTTCCTTCATATATCACTAACCATTATTTTTTTGGAAACTTAAAGAACTTGCCTTCTCTTAATCCAGAAGTGTCTACCATAAACCAACAATCTTCTTCTCGTTCACCAGAAGCACCTGGGAGATTCACACCTTTCACCTCAATATTTCTGCCCAGTCCCTCAGTCCCCTGCCAAATCACACCCTATCTACCATATACACCCTCATGAAATACACAATTACAAAAGATATTTTTATTCAACTATAACTCGCAAAAAAAAGTTAATTTAAAAGTTCACATACAGATGCTTATATATCTCCTTTTCACTTTCTTTTATTACTTTTGATTCTGTTTTTAAAAATAGGTGTTTTTCTTCTTACCATTCCTTGCTTGCAAAAACTGTCACCCAGACCATTAAAATTAACAAAAAAAAAAAGAAAACAGACAACTGAAATTCCTTTTTTCCCTTTAGCTTAAAGAATAATACAGTTTCATAATTGTTTGCAGCGCTCCCATTAGCCCCAGTAATACCACCATTACAAGGATAAAAAGAAATCATGCATACATGTTTTCTTTCTGTAACTATAGAAAAATTTATTATACTGCCACAATCTCATAACACCTTCATCCCCTACCAAAGATTTTCTTTTTCAAAGGACATTGCTTTTCCAATTCTGCCACTTAGTAATTATGACACTTTAAGCAAGTCATATCCATTCTCCTACCCTCATTCTTCCTTGTAATTATTAAATCATATACAACTCCCTGTGGCCCCATTTGATATTTTCTTGACCAAGATACTGTAGTAGTTTTCCATTTCTTCTCCAGCTCATTTTACAGATGAAGAAAATAAATTGACTTACTCAGGTTCACACAACTTTGGTAGCTATCTGAGGCCAAATAATGAACATGACTCTTCCTGATTCCAGACCCAATACGCTTATCAATTGTGCACCTGCCTGCCTTCAAGTTTTCTATCATGACATGATACATCTCCAATTACTATAACCTCAACTAGGGGGTTAAAAAAAACAACTATTTTTCCAAAACTACAATTTGTAATACATGCAAGTAATAATTTCTCAAACTATCCTCCGAGCCCCAAAATATATGGAATTATAAAACACTGGGACTCTTTGCACGTAAGTGTCCAAATTATGATTCTTTATAAAGGCTGACCCACCAAAAAATTCCAGAACTCCATGAATTCATTATCTGACCCACCAAATAATCTTCATTTCAAGATTTAAAGGCTTATGGAGAATATGTAGCAAAACTTCCTGCCCCATGCATTTCTACTTTGACAAGTTACTACCAATCCCAACTTCAGGATTATAATTAACTATATCCATTTGACCAACCTTCCAGTCAAACTTCAATCACAAATACTTCTGATACATTTCATAATAACCTAAGTTTCCCAATTTTCCCTACTTTCCCTGAACCAAAATCATAACAATTTATGATGAAGCCTCCCTCATCTCACCTTACTCAGATCAATCTCCAACTGCAAGGAAGGAAGGGTTATATTTAGGAAATCTCATTCCTGTCTCATCCTTCCCAAAGAAGCAGTATAAGTGTGATGCCACATAAATAAGCATAGTGAAATTTACCAATATAATAAAATCTACTTCTACTTTGACCTATTAGTTCCTTCATAATCCTGAAGCACTATGTTCCCTTGTACCCCCCCCCCATTACCACTACCTACCTACTGGTGTTTATCATTGACTCAGAACAAGCTGAAAAGAATTAGGGAACACACACACAAAACCCTCATTCTGAGAGATTTCCAAGGACTCATAAACAAGGCAGAAATAATTGGGGTTTTAGTATTTACACTTTGAGGAAGATAGCCATTTGTGTCCTTGGTGTTATAAAAACTCAACTCTAAAAGGGACTCAAAGACAACCCCTTGATTTAACTGACAAGATAGTAAGGAAAGTAGTCCATTGCATTGTTATGGGCATTTAGTAACAACTCTATGCAACACATATATGAAAGTGACAGTCACATCTTGGAAAGAGTTTACAGTCTACTTTAAAGATACATTTTCATAGATGACTAAATACAGACAAGTACAGAAAAACATTTCAGTGATCTGGAGGCAGAGGAAGGACAAAAAACATGAATTATTAAATGAGACAACATAAGCTTAAAAGATTTAGTGATAAGAAAATGGAAGTAACCCTGAAATATGAAGTAACCAGAAGTAACCCTGACACAAAGGGTACGCCATCCCTTAATGTTACCTCATTGTATGTGAAAGCCATTTTAGTCAGCTAACATTTATCAAGCACCTAACGTATATACCAAAAATTTTAAATGGCAAAAAAAATCCCCAATTGTCTAATGAGGGAGACAATATATAAGTAAGAACTGTACAAAGAAGCTATGTAGGAGATAAATTGGTGATGCTCTCAAAGTGAAGGCACTAAGATTAAGGAGGACTGAGAAAGGCTTCTTATAGAAAATGAGATCTTAGCTAGGATTTAAGGAAGCTTGAGAGACCAGAGATATAGTGTAAAGTGTTACAGGCTTGAGAGACAGCCAGAGAAAATGCCCAGATCCAAGAGATATTTATGGAGTTATAATAATAATAAGTTGTTGTTTAGTCACTTTTTGGTCATGTCCAACTCTTTTAGGGTTTTCTTTTGTTGCCATTTTCTTCTCCAGTTCATTTTATAGATGAGGAAACAATTGAGTGAATAGCTCAAGGTCACACAAACTAGTGTCAGAGCGGATATGAACTCAGGTCCTCTTGACCTTAAGCCCAGTGCCACCTAGCTGCCCCTGGACAGGAATTTTCTCTGCTCTCCAAAGGATTCTCTGTCCTAATCCCTACTATTCCAAGATTTTACCTTGATTAGATATTTAGAGTGCCCAAGACATGGATTAGAGGAACTAGTTACTATAATAATTACTGCTTCTTGTTTTAGCAGGAACACAGGTTTGAGAAGGCCCTGAGAGATAAGAAAGGCTTCACTATCAAGCAGATGAAGGAGGATGGAGCTTGCTTATTCCGAGCCGTTGGTGAGTTTTTGTCCCTTCGGGTCTTTTGTCCTTTGACTTCCTGCTCTGAAGTACTTACTCTTCTTAGAGATTCAAGATTCAGGGTCTGTCTCAATTCTGTTAAGTACAATATTCTATTGTAGTACTATCTGTATGGCCCAGTTGTAAAAGTATTCTTCAGATGAGGTTTACACCTACTGTAGGGAGAATTTCATTGAAAGGGTCTGCTTAAGTTAAACAACTGAACTTAAGTTTCTGGCTCTACTGTCCATTCATTGGTCTGCAGTTGAAATGGACTGAGACTTGGCTTTTCCTTTAAGGGCCTATCCCTTATGAACAGGACATTATGTACTCTAGACAAGAACAGAATCTACCTCTCATATTAGCAAGGAAAAAGTCTAATGACTATTTGTGGCCAGTGTATAATCTTTACCATTCATACACATATGGTTTCATCCCATTAATCATTAATGTAATCTAGGGAGGTCGCCAAGGCATGTCTTGTCCTTGTTGTTGTTCAGTTGTTTTCAGTCCTTTCCAACTGTGACCCCAATTGGAGTTTTCTTTTCAAAGATATTGGAGCAGTTTGCCATTTCCACCCATTTTATGCGTTAAGATGAGGAAACTGAGGCAAAACAGATTAAGTGATTTGCCTTGGGTAACACAGCTAGTAAGTATCTGAGGCAGGATTTGAACTAAAGTATTACTTTACAACCCTAATTGCCTTCTCAATGGGGTGAAAGGAGGGAGAGAATTTGGAACTGAAAGTAAAACTTTTTTAAAACATTCTCTACATTTTCCGCAAAGGAGTGATCAGGGGTGTACCGAAACCCTTGAGAGAAGAAAATATCATGTTAAAAAGAGTGATCAGTAGTGTCAAAGGTCAAGGAGAATGAGGATTAAGAAAAGCCGATTGATTTTGGCAATTAAGAGATCATTAGTAACTTTGAAGAGAGCAATTTCAGTACAATGGCTAGTAGTCATATGTAATTTATTTATTGTGTATCTTGGATATCAGACCTTTATCAGAGAAATTTTTATACAAACATTTTTTCCCATTCAATCCTCCTTATCCTAGTTGCATTAATCTAATCTACTTTTTTTTTTTTTAGGCAGTTGGGGTTAAGTGACTTGTCCAGCGTCACACAGCTAGTAAGTGTCATGTGTTTGGTCTAAGGCTGCATTTGAACTCAGGTCCTCCTCACTTCAGGGTTGGTGCTGTATCCACTGAGCCACCTAGCTGCCCCCAGACAGATTTTTTTTTCCAGGTAGGCAGTGGGGTTAAATGACTTGCCCAGGGTTACATAGCTAGTAAGTGTTATGTGTCTGAGATCATATTTCAACTCAGGTCCTCCTGAATCCAGGGCTGGTGCTCTATCTGCTGCGCCACTTAGCTGTGCCTTGCTTTCTTTTTTTTAAGGTGGTTCTATTTCCACTGTCTCCTTTCCCCTCATGCTTGATGTTCTTGTTTGATAGAAAATAGTATGTTTCGATCAGCATTCAGACTTCATAGCTCCTTCTCTGGATATGGATAGCATTTTCCCAAATAAATCTTTTGGAATTGTCTTAATTGCATTGCTCAGAAGTTGCCCTCCCACTTCTTGAATCAGTTTTCCTTTTTTGCCCCTTTTCTCCCTCTTCATTGAAAAAGTGAAAAAAAACAAAAACTGTACCACTATGATGTCATTTTCTTACCACAAACATCAGAATCTTTAGTAATACTTTCTAGGTTCCTTCTGGTAGTATCATTTGTAATCGAGTGAATTACAAGAGTAGGTCATTTGTTTTTACAAGTCTTGACAGGTTCAATATATGTCTTGGAAAACATGCATGGCAAAGCATACTTTAGTGACAAACTCATCTTAAATATCTTCTTTTTTCACTCTATCTTGTGGCATTCCTTCCTTATCCAATTTAAGATGTCTTGAATAGATAGCTCACCCTATAGATTATAGTACATTTAACTAAAGCCAAATCAAATTAACAAAGTTTAGACATTACAAATATGGTACACCAGGACCATTCTGAGGCGGACACTGAAATAACCCCTGCAGGAGGAAATTCATAGAATCACCTTTAAAACTTATTGAAGTAACCAGCGCACCAGTCCTAGTGAAGTTGAAACATACTTATATTAGTGAATCTTTAAGGATCAGAACAGAAGAAACAGCATCACTGTCCCTATTCCCAGCAAGAAGAAAGCTGGTTTTTTGGGGGAAGATTTTCTAGGGTATTAAATTTACAGTTTTAATTTTCATTAGAAACATAGTATTTGGATTCTTCCATTTCTGTGATTTAAAGAGCTCTGGGTATCACCTCCCTTCAAATCAAACTCTACATCAATGTTTTCCTCTCTTCCTCTTTCCCTTCTCCCCATTCCTCAGTAAAACGGGGTTGGCATTATCATAACCACAAAGTGCTAACTGCTATTAGGGTCAATCATTCACATACCCTCTTAATAAGAGGAAACCCAGAGAAAGAAAACTGGCAGAAGTGTTCTTTTTAACACACTCTTGGGTTTGCATTCTTTGACATTAGCTTTGTTCTTATCTTCTCTCTCCAGAACAGATTGGAATGGGTAATCATATCAAGCAGTTGTTTCCCCAAAATACTAATGCTGAACTCACATCTGTATAGCTTTGTTCATATGACAAAGCATTTTAAATTCTGCTTATCAATGAAAGAAATATGCAAATACCATGCACTACACTCTACTTCCCACCCAGGCTTATACACCCTAGAAGATCTTTCCCTAAATTCCTTTATTTTCTATGATTTGCCTTGGGTCAAGAGAGTCTTTTCTACAGTCGCAGCCAATGAGATCCCCTTTGAATTCTGCTGTGAGAAAAGTAAAAGAGAGACTTAGTTGGCCCAGAGGAAAGGTCAAAACTAGCTATTAAACTATGTAATGCATGTATTTGGGACATCAAGGGAGTCAGGCTCTTGTTCACTTTCTTTTTCTAATACATTATGTAATCATGCCTCAGACCATTTGCTTTTTTGGGAATCAGATTTATCCTTTATAAAATGAGAAAATTGGAGCAAATGACTTCCAAGATCCTGTTCCAGCTATAATGTAATATTTCATGTAAGTTTCATGTCCTAGTCTCTGATGTCACCCCCTCTTTAAACCTCCTCTTTCTACAGCAGACCAAGTATATGGTGATCAGGATATGCATGAAGTTGTCCGGAAACACTGCATGGATTATTTGGTAAGATACAAGGTGGTGACCATGGGGACTATGGGAGGGGATGGGATTACTGCTTCTTCCTTCCTTCCCAGTCTGAACCTCTGCAACCCTCTTTCTTCCCCCAACTACCACCAGATGAAGAATGCAGACTATTTCTCTAACTACATCACTGAAGATTTTACCACCTATATTAATCGGAAACGAAAGAATAATTGTCACGGCGACCACATTGAGATGCAGGCTATGGCTGAGATGTATAACAGGCCTATGGAAGTATATCAGTATAGCACAGGTAGGGCAATGCTGGAACTGGCCATCCTTTAGAATTAAACAGGGAAGTGGGATGGTAAATTGACCTAAACACTATCCTGAAATAGCCACTATCCCTCTTCTTCTCCAGAGCCCATCAATACATTCCATAGCATCCAGCAAAATGAGGATAAGCCTATCCGGGTCAGCTATCATTGCAGTATCCACTATAATTCTGTGGTGAATCCTAACAAGGCTACCATTGGTGTGGGCCTCGGGCTTCCCTCATTCAAACCAGGGGTAAGTGAGTCAGAGTTCATCTATAAAAGTTTTCATAGGAGGGCAGGTGGGGATACCAGAGCTTTAATGTATATTAGGCCTTTTTCTCCCTCTTTCCAATTCAACTCCTTTTCTTTCCTCTATTCTCCCCACCCATTTTCCTACCACTTAAGTCTCTTTTTTCTTTTCTTTTCATAGACTCAGAAATAGAACATCAAAGATCACATTCCTTTCTGTTCCCTTAATCTTTCTCTTCCCCATTTCAATTTATCTTTCTATTAATACAGCAATCAGCATAGTGTTAAATGAATGTGTCCCATCTCTCTTTTTTTGTCCTGTACCTCTTCTTCTTTTCTCTCAGTGACAAAAGTGTCTGTATTCCTCCTTTTTTTGTTTTGTTTTGTTTTCTGGTTAGGCAGTGGGTTTAAGTGACTTGCCCAGGGTCACACAGCTAGTAAGTGTTATGTGTCTAAGGCTGGATTTGAACTCAGGTCCTCCTGAATCTGGAGCCGGAGCTGTATCCACCCTGCCACCTAGCTGCACCTGTTCCTCCTTTTTTATTGTTGTGGTGACAAATCCAATAAACAAGTCCCCAGGCAAATTAAGTTAGGAACTGATAGAGGCTAATTTGATTTCAGTTGCCCTTGTTGGTCTGTAACACTGGATCCAGTATTTAGATATCCAATTCTTTCTTTAGGATTTTTTGCGATATATGGAGATTCTTAATAGGGAACAGTTACTCCTGTGGACTCAGTTTTTCTTTGTAGACATATTACCCTAGCTTGTGGCTCTGCCTTGGGTTTTGAGAGAGAGAGAGAGAGAATGCAAGCTGAGGACCATATTCTTAAACCTATTTTGTGCACAAGGAATGAACCTCAAGAGAGTCTGTTGGTGCCTCGTGTCATTTTCTGGCACTTTAGCCTGGGCAATACTAGTGATAAATCTTCAGTCTTCATTTTGCATTAAATTAACAGGAGTGCAAGTTAGGGAAATTGAAGAGAAGGAGCAAGTATTTATTAAATCCTGCTATGATTATCCCCATTTTACATTTGACAAAATTGAGGCATATAGAAGTTTAGTGAATTTTCGAAGGTTACACAGCTCTTAAATATCTAAAGACATATTTGAACTCAGGTCTTCTTGATGCTAGATTCAGCACATTTTCAAGGTTAGGGATAATGGTTGGAAAAGAGAAAAAAATGCCTGAAGAGTCTGCCCCCTGGGCTAATATGGGAATGGCACTGCAGTTTAAGGGTCTCTGAGAGTTGAAGGTTAACCCTTCAGAATAATTAAAATAATCACTAAAAATGTATATCTCTAATGCCACATCCTCTCTGCCCCATCATATTCCCTCTTTCTTTGTTCCTCAATTCCTCAAATACACACACATATATATATATATATGTGTGTATATATATATATATATATAGACACACACACACTCACACACTCAGACATAAAAGGCAGTCTATGAGAGTCCTTATTCTCAAACTATCAACCTGTTTTCCTCCATATTAAGTTTGCTGAGCAGTCTCTGTTGAAGAATGCTATAAAAACATCAGAGGAGTCATGGATTGAGCAGCAGATGCTGGAGGATAAGAAACGAGCTACCGACTGGGAAGCCACCAGTGAGGCTATTGAAGAACAAGTAGCTTGGGAATCTTACTTGCAGTGGCTTCGGGACCAAGAGAAGCATACTCGGCAGGTCAAGGGTGAAACACAGGTATTGTAACCTGGGGTATCTAAGGCAGCACAGTATAAAAGGAATTCTAAGAATCAACACTGCTGCTCAAGAAGTGACATTAAATGTCAAGAACCAAGAGTTTCTAGACAAAACTTTTAGTGTAAAGGAAAAATTGATCAGTGCAGCTTACTAGGAAAACTATTAGAAGAATTAGGAGTTGGGACTAAATATATGTGATTGCTGCCAAATGTAAATTGTTTTGTCCTTTAAAAGTATCACACTTTGATAGAGTCTGGGGATAGACTTCATTTCATAGCTGCTCCACTTTTCTTTAGCCCTGGAAAAGCTAGTGCCACATGTACCTCAGCTACAGCAGCTACATCAAGCAACCTGGATGAGTGGAGTGGCCAGTCTCCAAGACAGCAAAACCCTGAGCAGCCAGAGCTGATCCATAAGCCTCCCTCACCCAGCCATGCCCTTACCTTCACCAAACCTCCTTCACCTAGTACTCCAGGTCAGTACTACCACTGACTATCCCAAGCACTGGGGGATATGGCATATTAAAAGCATAAATGATGTAGTCTTTTAATTCATGCCACTTCCCACCTTCCCCCCATAGGCCTCAAATAACAATTATTTCTCTGTCACAGTACCAAGTAGTCAGTCAGCAGGGGATGACTTTGCTACCTCTCCCCTTGTATCCCTCTACCCTGCTTTGGAGTGTCGGGCCCTTATTCAGCAGATGTCACCCACTGCATTTGGTAAGATGCCATCTTCAACACCAAAAGGCTAGAGTCATTCTTCCTTAACAAGTAGGTCAGTTTAGCTGGAAAGTAAAATATAAAAATATTAAGCCTGGAAAAGTAGGCAGGAATTGGATTATGAGGGTTTTTAAAAGCCAAAGAAGTGTATAAATAGCAGGTTGATAGTTTGAGAATAAGGACTCTCATAGACTGCCTTTTATGTCTGAGTGTGTGAGTGTGAGTGTGTGTGTGTGTATATATATGTGTGTGTGTGTATTTGAGGAATTGAGGAACAAAGAAAGAGGGAATATGATGGAGCAGAGAGGATGTGGCATTTTGAGGAGGGAAGTGACATCATCAGACTTGTTTGTGGCTGATGGATTGAAGAAGGTAGAGATGAAATAAAAAGACTGATTAATAGTCTATTCCAGTAGTCTACTCTAGAAGCAATTAGACACAGAAGTAGAGTTTTGCAATTTATCTTTATATCTTTCTCTACCCATACTACTAAGTTCCCTCACAGTTCAGGCTACAGCATCCCTCTCACTTCCTGACCCCCCCTTTCCTCCTTCCCTGCTAGGTCTGAATGACTGGGATGACGACGGGATCTTGGCTTCAGTCCTTGCTGTCTCCCAACAGGAATACCTAGACAGTATGAAGAAAAGCATAGTGCACAGAGACCCATCCTCAGACAAGAGCTGATAACAAGGGACTGGAAATCCCTTCCTTCCTTTCCCTCCATTCTGTCCTCTACCATAACATTTTCCCCTATCTTTCCCAGCTTCTCTAAGAGACACATAAATACCTACAGGTGAAACCAGCCTAATCCCCTACAACATGTTCACTTACCTTTTTTCCTTCTTACAATCTCCCACTCTCTGATCAGCTGAAATCCAATAGGTATTTAAGTAAGGGATGGACATACTTGGGAAGGAAAGAAAAAATGTCCACAAAGCCATCTGTAGTTTTAGAAGAAGGCATTAATTAACCACCATCTTTGTTGAGGTCTGACAGGATATGCCAGGAGAGACTCTTAAAGGCTTTGCCCTCTCCAAAACCCAACTTTTCCCACCTCTGAAGTCCCAAGAACATATATGCCATCTGTATTTGGGTATCTCCCTCCTGCATCATCTGTATTATAATATAATTTTATCTGATTTCAAAAAACCACACTGGCCTAGCTGACTATATAGTTGCAGAAATCTAGGGAAAGGGGCATGGAAGAAAGACTAGATCAACTAGCACCCATCCTTCATTCCTTGTCTCACATACTTTCTTAGTGTCTCTTTCTCTGTCAAATAGGACAATGAAGATTGTGTTCTAGTTAGCTAAATGCTGGGAGCTTATTCTTCCTCTTTTCGTTGTGAGGCTTTTGGACAATAAAACACCACAGCCCATGAGATACATGTACTGTTCTCAAAGTACTCAAAATTAGTAGAAAAATTTTGAGATGTGAAAGGGAGAATGAAGGGAACACCTTCACCTTTCCAAAAGAGTTGAGAGAAATGAATAATTCACTATTGAAAAAAGAAAAAAAAACATGCAAAAAAAGTTTGGGAAAATGAAGTAAGATGCAAATTTTTTCCTTTTTTTAAGTGGGAGATTAGAAGGTATGGTACAGTGAAAAGAGCAATGACTAAGTCAGACCTGGATTCAAGTTCTGCCTTTAATTACCATTTATATGACCTTACACAAGTCACTTAAGATTTATTAAATGTAAAATAAGGGTTATTGTAGTCCAGGTCTAATGGTTCAAGTGCAGTATTCAAACAACACAAAAACAAAAGGAAATTTACTTAGCATGGAAAGGGTATTAAGTATTGATTAACTTGTATACAACTTCTCTGCTTTTGTGTTAGTAATCTGTCATTTACAAGCTTGAGATATACACATGTCCATGAGATATACACATATTCATAATGGAATAGCTTTTATACTTGGACCAACAGGGAGCTACATTCATTGTCCAAGTCTTAGTCTCCTGAGCCATTTCAATGTCTTATAAGAAAAATGCATAACTTGGGTGAAGTAGATGTTATCCCTTCCAGTTCTAAAGCTATAAGCCTCTGTTTATTATAGCTTTCATTTGGATTAGGAGGAAGAGACAGAAAGAGAACCCTGGACCACCAACTCCTTGCTTGGATAGGGAATGGAGATGAGTGGTGGGGAAGAAAGACGGTGAAGGGGAAAGGTTGGAAGGAACAGCATTCAGCCCTTGGTGATTTCCATTTCACCTCAACTAATAAACTAAGCTAAGATACTGAGGTAAACATCATTTCATTGTTCTTGCTTCTGGTGAATACAGTGACAATAACAGTTACCTGATTTCAACTAGACCCTGCTGTTTCAAAGCTGTTCTTTTATTCCCCCTAATTGATTCACTGTCCTCATCTTTGTATTCCAATACTTCAGCCACCATATACCACTCCCTATTTTCTCAACTTTTTCTCACTCTTCACAAAGAAAAGCTAAGATCATTTGTTTTTTTATTTTTTTTATTATTTTTTTTCTAAGGTCATTTGTATGACAGTATTTGCCTCCTCACATCACTCAGAGTTTATACACAACCATTACACCAAGTTTCTTCCTTTACCTTTATCTCACAGAGAGGTGGCCTTTCACACCCTTACACACTTGATTACTTCTTCAGCAGGTTGTCCCCTCTGTTATCTCCTCTCTTTCTCTAATTGTTTAATCTTTTTTTACCTTTAATCTCTTCCTATCTTCTATCCATATATCTGCTGCCTATGAATGCACCCCTGTGACTTATATCCTGGGAAAAAAAGCCTTCACATATAATTCTACTAGTTAGTTTCTGGTATTTTTTCTTCCCTCCTTAACCCCTTGAGAAAACTGTCCAAACTCCATACCTCCCATTTCTAAACCCTCTTCAATCAAGCTTTCAGCTTCATTCAACTAAAACTGCTCTTTCTGAAGTTATCAATAATTTCTTAATTATCAAATCAAAAGCCCTTATTTCAGTCTTCATCATTTTTGATCTCTTGGCATCTTTGGATACTATTAATCATCATTTCCTTAATATTCTCTTTTTAGGGTTTTGTGACATAGAGTTCTCCTTATTCTCCTTATCAATATGCCTTGGTAAATCTCCATGGCTCTGTCCTATATCCTGTGTTCTTTACTTTCATACTCTCTTGATTTTCTTGTTAGTTCTTAGGAATTCAGTTATTATCTCTGTGTAGATGATTCCTATATCACTGTGTAAAACCAGTCTTTGTCCCAAGTCCCAGTTTCCCAACAGCCAGTCATCTCGGACTCACATGTCCAAAAGAGAATTCTTTTTGTCCTAAAACAGTTCCCATGAGTTGCCATCTATTATGTTCTTCTCTTTTTTTGCAGTCACACAGACTTGAAACTTCAGCATCATCCTGAAACCCTCACATTGTTTTGACCCTGATTGGCTCTGAGTGAATGTAAATAGCAATTGTTTCTGTTTTTTGGTCTAGGTAAAAGAGGCCACTCTTTGCCTCCTTTCTTACCTAGACTTAATCAGTGAATGGGAATTGCCTCAGTCAAACTGAGATGTGGGAAAGGCCATATCTTAAAAAGGCCAAAATCACCCCTGCATCCTAGGCCATCTCCAGTCATCCTGAACAATATCTTGACACTGGGCTCCTATGGCTCCAGAGGAGAAAGTGAGGCTGGTGACTTTGCTTGATTTGAATCCAGTTCAGTTGCCAGTCACCTTCCTAATGTCATTGGTCCTCTTTGAGAACAACAACAAATCATACAGCCATCACCTTAGTACAGGCTTCTCGGGATCAGTGCAGTAGCACCTAATTGATCTCACTGTCTCATCTGCTTCCCACTCAGCTACCAGAGTAATTTTTTAACGTTCAGGTCTTAACCATGTCACCATCCTATTCAGGAAACATTTGGTGATCCTGTAATTTCTAGCATTAAATGTAATGTGCTTAGCATTTAAATCCTTTCACAACTTGGTCCTTCCTGTCTTTTCAGTATTCCCACATTTTATTCCCTTCTCCACTGTTATTTCTTGCACACAGAATTCCATCTGTCATCTTTCTGTCTTTGCACAGTCTGTCTCCCATGTCTGGAATGTTCTTCCTATCTTTCCTGGCTTATTTCAAGACTCAGCTCAAATCCCAACCTCTACAAGAGGCTTTTTCCCATTCCCCACACTTCAATGCTAGCTCCTTCCCTCTGACATTACTTTCCATCTGTTTCTGTATGTATCCTGTACATAGATCATTATTTACCTGTTGCCTCCCCCATTAAAATACGAGTTTCTTGTGAGCAGGGCCTTTTTTGCTTTTCTTTATATCCTCCCAGTATTAGGTTTATTACTATGTCGACCTCAAAGTTAGTAAAAGAGACAGTAAGCTAGCTGTTAAGTAAATTCATATTGTTTTATGCCCTTAAATTAGCAGCATGTTACATGTTACATGGAGGTAGAGCTTTAACTCTGACTGAAGCAAGCAATTTTAGCAAGACATTTAAATCCTGACTCAGGCAAATGTCAGATCCAGGATATCTGTGTTTCCTTTACCACCACAGAATATCAAGATAAGAAAAGTCCCATTATTCAAGGTAGTGTCTGGATGTGGAGTCCACATCCAGAAGTTGGCAGCTATGGGTGTAGTCACATAGACCTGACAGGAGCTCTTAGAAGATGTATGAATTGATAATTGAGAGAAAATAGCATAACGTAAGTCCTTAGTTAAAGGTACATAAAGATGGTTCAGTTTCTCAGCCATGCAGGGTGAGGTTCAAACAATACAACAAAGTTTTTCTCCTAATTTACAAAACTGCATAATTACATCAAGTCAGGTACAGATTAAATTACTTAGAGGTTTTTTGGGTTTTTTTAGGCAATTGGGGTTAAGTGACTTGCCCAGGGTCACACAGCTATTAAGTGTTAAGTGTTTGGTCTGAGGTCGGATTTGAACTCAGGTGTTCTATCCACTGCACCACCTAGCTGCCCCAATAGATTAGTTTTGAGAAGGGAGATTTATATGTTTCCAAGATAACCAAGAAAACCTTAAACATGAACCATACAAATCAATACAATCATTATTACTAGTGTTACATTAAGTTCCTTGCTCATACAATAGGTTTTATTCTTAGGCAGTTCAAAAAGGGAGTTCTTCTCTGGTTTAGATCTAGAATTTCCCAGATAATTCTGATTTATCATAAATTCGTACAGTCACTAAAATTTGTTTCTCCATTTTTTTTATATCATCTGCTGCTTCTGTCCTTACCTAAATCCTATACCTGGTATAAGAATCTTTTAAAATGTGAGGGTCCAACCCTAAAATGAGCTCTCTTGCTTTTTAAAATTACCAGACAAGTACTTTAATAAAGGAGAAATAATTTTACTTAATTTTACCATTGTCCTATACAATTTTTGGTGTAAAAATCTAAATTTGAGATCTTTTTACCTAAACATGCTTAAAGCTTGGATTTCCACAATAGATACAGTTTGGAAGCCAATCATATACATCTGTATATAATTCTTAGAGGAATCAGTCTAATCCTGTGGCTTTTCTCAAAGTTTGCTATCGTATTTAATTAGACATCTATCATATTACATCTTTGTCTTATTACTTTGTCTAAATATTTCCTCCTTAGGAAGATATTATCCCTATATTATTATTATTATTTGACCATGAATGTAAGTTGAAATTGTAAGCTATTCATACTTGCATCCTATTATGGTA